TCTTACCTAATCCCTCTATCTGCGATAAAGTTCAAAACACGGAATCAAACCTTCTCCCAAGCCTTCGTTATGCCCATATTGGTGTGCTGTACCTTGCTGTCATGTTTTTTTGCTGCTAGGCCACAACCTGGTATAGGAGGAAAATTTGGATCGCACCTATCCAACTTGTTTACGGTTTATCCAGTTTTATGTTGCTATTGGTAAATTTAACCCCGTTTAAAGCGCAATAATTTACCCATTTTGAGAGTTTCTTCGTGTAATAAATGACATTTCTTACCCAATGGACCTTTTCCACCCCAAAACTTTTAGACCGTATGAGGAAAAAATGTAACCGACTTACTTCGGGTTCGACTTTCAGCAGATTAACAGATCCTAGTGTTGAGGGCGAGGTGGTGGAAAGGTTGCTTGAACCGTTTGGAATTGACCAGCCAATGATGCGGTTGGTCGCTCTTTCATTCGCTTGCCAATGCGTTTGCGGTTCTGTCTGTCTGTCCGTCTGTCTGTCTGTCTGTCTGTGAACCGGTATATTTCTCCCCCAAGATGCCCCTACCTGTTCACCTTGGGTTAAAGATGTGTGTCATGGAGCCATTGTGTTCGTCATTTTGAAGTTTGGCACAAGGGGAGACACTCATTCTTAATAATTTACAGCATCATTATTAACCCTGGAAGGTTACATGCTGACTGATGCCTCGCCTGCTTCAATCAACCCATGACGTCCGCCCAAAAGTATTTTTTATGCAATTTAAAAGGTGTGTTGTGCCTTTACGCAAGGCTCAGGCTGATTAAAAAACAAACTTCAGATCTATTTAGGAATTCATTATTAGTTCCCCTTAAATATCTATTTTCTCTATTAAAGAGAATTTTAAAACACCAAACAAAGGCCCGAAAATTGCTCGATGTTATAAAGTGAGCGAGTAAGTGATTAAGTAAAGAGCTGTTGTTTAAATGTATCAGGGAAAATCTTGATTACATTGTCGCCAAACGACAATCGCTGTAGTCGACCGCATAACTCGAGTGGGTAAAACGGAAGAACGCGAGAGTCTGTTTTCAGGCAGTTGAGTGGATCAAGGTGGATGTAGTCATCAAGTGAACCGCTAGTTATGCGTCGACTCTTCTTCAATCAAGCTCTATCCTTAGCTCCTCTGTGATATACCGCTTGTCTAAACCTTCTCTTAACAATGTACTTGCCCACTTTTGTTAAAAGAGTATAACTGAACTCTGTAATTAGGTGTAAGGCCTTCCAGCAGTTTTCTTTCTCCTCCGCCCCCACTTCTCCTTTGTTCGCATGTATTCACTTAGGGATAATTTTTACCTCTTCTTGATACAAAGGCTGAGAATTAAAGTGTGGTGAAAATCTTAACTTTTGCATTCAAGTAGTCTTTGCTTCCCAAAGACAAAACTTACATTGAAGCGGAACTTTTGTCATTTTGAGTCCCTACTCGAAAAGAGAAAAGACAATAAGTTTATGAAATGGAAAATTGAATCCTTTTGGTCACGAAGACGGGGTGAAGAGCATCTATCCTCTTTACCATGCACATATGACAAAATTGCAATCCAACCCTGGGACACACCTGGTCGTTGAAGGTACAGCACCGACTTCCTTACTGACTAGCTGATTGGGTTAAAGCTGGAAACCTCCCTATCGTATCCAAAAATCATGACATTGAATGACCTTACCATGGAATCCTATCCAGCTGTAGCAAATGTGTCCGAGAGAATAAAAAGTGC